CCCTGTTTCAGTGCCCTTAGTGCGAATCACCTCTCAGGTCCCATCGATCCACTCACCAACTTGCCACAGCTCCAGTACCTGTACGCATTGATTCATTCCTCTGAAGTTTTCTAAACAAATATCTGGGATGGTGCACTTTGATTTGATGTCCTTAATCTCACTACCGTATCCACCAGCTTCATCAGACAGCAGTTCTTACAAGCAAGGATAAGAATTTACCGTCGGGGTGGTGATGAGTCAGACTCCTCAAACCACATGACTCACTCAATGTAGTGCTTCATTGCACGAACGCTGCCCCACCCCTCCCTGTATCTCAGTTGGAGTAACGGTTGGTTGTCTTCAGCTGCCGAATAACAGTTGCAGCTCAATTGGCCACTTAACCAGGTGGCTTGGGAGGACCAACCAATCCTTGCGCAAGGACGGGACTTGTTCAGAGGGGAGTGGTGATGATATCCTTTTTTGACGATAATGTCGTAGTCATTGAGGGACGTTACACGGACAGAGTGTGCCTCATTCATGCCATGACTATTGAGCCTGCTAGTCGAAGTTTAGGACACGGCACCTCTGGTGAATTTGTTAGGATCGGAGGAGGGTCGGGGCCTTACACTGATCCTGGCAATTGATCGACACACCGATGTGCCCACACTGCAATTTTGCAATGGAGTGAACACACCGAGCTAGAGGTGCCAGGATCTAAATTGCAGGGTCGGGCAGGTTGGAGCCGCGTCGGAATACACCAACACACTGCAACGCACAGCCAATCAGGGCAAAGCGTGGTTGGTCGCCCAACAATGCCAGTGGCAGCGGCTCGGGCAGTTTTGGCCTGCGACCTTGGGCGATGCCGATCAATCGTGGCTGTCACCTGTGGAGCAATCAGCTCTCTCTCTTGCCAACCCAAACACACGATCAATCGTGCGAGCCAGAGGTGCCACCATTTTGGGCTACAATTTACTGTACATCTGCGAGTTTCTGCGAAAGTGGAGACCAGGCTATGTCGCCAATACACTGTACCCCCAGCACATCGATCCCCACTTGGGATCGATCCTGGCAAATTTCCCAGTGCCGTGTCCTTAAGGTGTAGGGTCCAATTGCAGTAAGCCAGGAGGACTGGTATTTTTTGGATGTCCACCCTATTGTTCATAGCGTTCATGCTTCTCAGCACGCCTTGCTCTTGACCTCCAAACGTCGATTCACTTGTCACTTTTTGGATTTACCCCTCTTTCTCTTCCCACTCCCCTCTCCCAGGGTATCCCCCGCCATCACACTTCCCTTTCTTTTCCTGTTGCGTACTGGTGGTCTCATCTTGACACTTGAACTGAAATGGATTGTGAGCTGGCGGGCCACTTTCTCTGCTTCTCCATTTTAAATTGCAATTTCCACCACTTAGCTGAATCTAACGAGTACTGTGCTTAGCCTGCATCAGCAGAGCTCTGTGCTCGTACGACGCATAAGAAGTGACGTGAATGTCACTCACCCCTTTGAATCCCACATTGCAATCTGTGGTTATGATTGTGGTCGTGGCTTTGCATTGTGGACAGTGTAGAACTGCAGCCAACCATTTGGTGGAAATGTCATGTGCACGTGTGTGGAAAAACCGTGACCTTGTCGTTTTTAAGAAACTGAGAGAGAGCAATGCCTGTGGCACGTACTGCGACATGCAGTGCGCAACTACCATGGAAGTCCACCAGTCCTTGCCAATGCACTCTATTCCAAGATATTTATCAATGCCCTTCCTCTCTTTCTATCTTCCCTTGCCCTCTTACCATACAGGGGCCTTGACGAGAACTCGTTCTATGGAAGCATTCCGTCCTGCATGGGCAACATGGCAGAGCTGAAGGATGTGTATGTACCTGGACGATCACTTCCGTGCACGATCGTGCACTTCTTGACGTACCTTGCTCCTCCCACCCAGACTGTCTCATTGTGGACTCGAACACAAGCTTCAAAACAAGGCCTATATGTTGTTACTTGAGCTTGTTCAGTGACTCTTCCATTCCTCGATCTGACATGGCCCACGAGGCCTTGTTCCGCCGCTGACGAGTGCAGGGTGCTACGTTTCAACCAGCTGAGTGGATCCATACCCGACTCCTTGAGCCGCCTGCACAACCTCTCTCACATGTGAGATGCTCCTCTCAACCCTTGCACCCTGCCTGCACCCATGTGCGCGTCTACTGCTAGCCTTCTTCAGGCTCACTTGACAAATGTTTACTATCAAAATGTGGCGGTTGGTTCGTCATGCATGTGGGACTCGAGAGATACACATGCAGTCAGTCACAGTGCATTGTGCCCAGGCCCCAGGGTGCTTGCTCGCAGAACCCTAGCAAGTGCAATGCCAGTTGTTACCGCACATGGTATTGCATCACATGCAGCATGCTGCCATTTGCATTTGGGCGCTATTCCTCTCACCTCACACCTCTTACCCCGTTCTCAAAATGTGACCTACAGCGCTTTGAATGTGAATCAGCTGACGGGGTCCATCCCTGAGTGGATTGGAACCCTCTCCAATCTCAGGCTTTTGTGAGTCTTGTCGCCCCAAGCCAACACACACGCACCTGTCCTTCGCACACGTCTTAATGCCATGCATAGTGATGTCATCCGTACCCATGATCACGAGTGGACACTGGTCACACATGGAGTGTGTGTGGCTCATGGTGCATGTGTGTTGATGTGCATGGTGCGTGTGTGTTGATGTGCGTGATGCGTGTGTGTTGATGTGTGTGATGCATTTGTGTTGATGTGCGTGATGCGTGTGTGTTGATGTGTGTGATGCATGTGTGTTGATGTGTGTGATGCGTGTGTGTTGATGTGTGTGATGCATGTGTGTTGATGTGCGTGATGCGTGTGTGTTGATGTGCGTGATGCATGTGTGTTGATGTGCGTGATGCATGTGTATTGATGTGTGTGATGCATGTGTGTTGATGTGTGTGATGCATGTGTGTTGATGTGTGTGATGCATGTGTGTTGATGTGTGTGATGCATGTGTGTTGATGTGTGTGATGCATGTGTGTTGATGTGTGTGATGCATGTGTGTTGATGTGTGTGATGCATGTGTGTTGATGTGTGTGATGCATGTGTGTTGATGTGTGTGATGCATGTGTGTTGATGTGTGTGATGCATGTGTGTTGATGTGTGTGATGCATGTGTGTTGATGTGCGTGATGCGTGTGTGTTGATGTGCGTGATGCGTGTGCGTTGATGTGCGTGATGCGTGTGTGTTGATGTGTGTGATGCATGTGTGTTGATGTGTGTGATGCATGTGTGTTGATGTGTGTGATGCATGTGCGTTGATGTGTGTGATGCATGTGTGTTGATGTGCGTGATGCGTGTGTGTTGATGTGCGTGATGCATGTGTGTTGATGTGTGTGATGCGTGTGTGTTGATGTGTGTGATGCATGTGTGTTGATTTGTGTGATGCATGTGTGTTGATGTGTGGGATGCATGTGTGTTGATGTGTGTGATGCATGTGTGTTGATGTGTGTGATGCATGTGTGTTGTTGTGTGTGATGCATGTGTGTTGATGTGTGTGATGCATGTGTGTTGATGTGTGTGATGCATGTGTGTTGATGTGTGTGATGCATGTGTGTTGATGTGTGTTGATGTGTGTGATGCGTGTGTGTTGATGTGCGTGATGCGTGAGTGGTGATGCATATGGCGCCTTGGCAGGATATTGCAGTACAATGCACTGAGTGGATCCATTCCAGCTTCGCTGGCATCGCTGCAGCACCTTGAACTTCTGTAAGCATCCATTCTATGTTCTCATCCATGTTTCACATCACACCCTGCTCATCCATGTTTCACATCACACCCTGCTCATCCATGTTTCACATCACACCCTGCTCATCCATGTTTCACACCATGCTCATCAATGTACTTCATCAATGTTTCACAACATGCTCATCAACGTTTCACAACATGCTCATCAACGTTTCACAGCATGCTCCTCAACGTTTCACAACATGCTCATCAACGTTCCACATCATGCTCATCCATGGTTCACACCATTCTTATCTCAGAGTTCTTTCAGACAACCATCTCTCAGGAAGCATACCTGCAACGCTGGGCAATCTGCTTAGCTTGCGGTACCTGTGAGTCAAAACAACCCATTCGCACAGTGCTCATCATCTTGCGCTTCAGCTGCTGCATTGCCCACGCTCTCCCAAGAGGGTAATGCGAACTCACTTAACATCTCAGGACTCCATTCGTCCGTTCATCTTATCTGTCTTTTCACACAATGCACCCATTTACCCTTGGGTGACCACTTGCTCGACCCTTTTGAGATGGCAGGATGCTGGCAAACAATCAGCTGTCTGGATCCATCCCAACAGCCATTGGAAAACTCACCAACTTGTTGGGCCTGTGCGTGCGGATAGAGCGCATCCAGATGACTCCTTTCGACTTGAGCATAGCAGTAACCAAACATTCTGCGATGCGCTGCAGCAGGAACATCGCATTTCAGTGCATGGATTTGAAGAGCACATGTGGACCGTGGTGTGTGCGTGTGATGTGCATGGACCAAGCAGGCAGCTGCATGGCAACCAACTGGAGGGGACTCTCCCCAGCACCCTCCAGCGCCTCTCAAATCTTCAATGGCTGTACGTATTCCACAGGTGCTCTCTTTAACGACTGTTCCTGTCCATTGTCTCCAGAGGTGCACTGAATTGTAGTTCTGTGCTTCACAACACAAGTGGCTGTTGCTTCTTTTTACGTGTACTATTCATTCCGTTCCTTTTTTTAGTTTGTAAGTGTCTCAAAATAGCCTTTATGCGCGGACACGGGCTCCCCTATCTAGGGGTACTAACAGCTTGAACGCTGGCCCATTCCAAGTGTGGTGCACAGAGTTGCTTCGTGGCTCTTGATTGGTGGCACCCTCTGGAGCGATCAGCTCACGCTCTGTGTGTGTGGTGATAGCATGTGGCTCACCTGTCTTGATCCTCGCACCCTTCCTTCAGCTCACTGTCATTCAACCGGCTCTCAGGCCCCGTGGAGCCCATCATACGAGGCATGAAGAACATCACTTCATTGTGGGTATCACCACATAACGGTGCACTGGCCCTCTCTCACACTGTTTTCACCCCAAGCTTTCACAAGTCTGCTCTAGTCTCGACGTGCTTAGTTGGCCCTGCATCACTGTTGCTGTGGCAGGTATCTACACAACAACCAGTTCTCTGGGCGCCTGCCCAGCCTGACAGCACATGGCGTGCAGGCGTACTACGTTACTGAGAACTTCTTCTCGCACGGGCAGGTCAAGTTCAGCAACTGTTCTGCGGTCACGTGGAACACGTATTTAAACTGCCTCGCGCCGTACAATGGCATCTGCGGCTTTGCGTATTCCCAAAGGTCTGCTGCAGCGTGTGCTGCGTTCTGTGGGCTGAGGGTCGGTGCCACTGGCCCTCTGTGTGGGGGCCATGGCTACTGCTCTCAGAATACCCGTACTGGAGCATGGAAGTGTGTGTGCGATCCCAACTACATGGTCAACAGCAGCAACTTCAACACCTGTGTGCCTGGAGGTAAGTGCCTTCTTTCAAACAATCGCTCTGCAACAGCTGGCGTCATGCTAATTTATCCAATGGCTAGAAATCATTCCAGAAGCCTCGTTCCTCCAATGCCTTTGCCTCCCTCCCCTCCAGCTGCGCGCACATCTCTGGCGTCTGCCTTGGCATACGTCTCCCTTGGGGGCTCTGCCTCGCTGCTTTCCAACGGCTCCATTCTGCTCACCAGCGGCGCTGCCAGCCAGCAAGGCTCTGCCCTTGCGTTGCCCGCGCTGCGCCTCTTCTACATTCCGGACAAGCGCTCTCCCTGCGGCACCCAGCTGGGCTTCCGAGTTGCCTTCAGCTTCGCCATGACCCCCGGGGATCAGGGGGCGGGTGGGGAAGGCCTTGCGTTTGTGGTGGCAGCAGCTGCTGCTGGCAAGGGGGTGAGTGTGGGGCTGGGAGGGGTGGGGAAGCGGAGTGTGGCGGTGGAGTTTGACTCGGTGCTGAGTGTGAAGCACAGCGACCCCAACGACAACCACGTGGGCGTCAATGTGGGCGGCTCACCTGTGTCCCTCGCCTCTGCCACGGCCCCTCTCATCCTCAACGACGCCCACACCAAGCACGCCTGGATCCACTACGACCCCACCAGCGGCGGCACCCTCCGAGTCTTCCTCTCCTCCGACCCCCACCAGCCCCCCACCCCCACCCTCACAGCAAGCGTGTCTCTCTGCTCCGTGCTCAAGCCCACTGCATCCGACTCTCTCTTCCTCTTCGGCTTCGTCGCCCTCTCAGCCAGCCAGCCCCAAAGCCATGTCATTCTGTCCTGGAGCTTCATCACAGGTATGGTATGCTGCCTAACACCATACCCATCCCCGTCTGTTTAAAGCCGGCAGCCCAAGGTGTACAAGGTTACTTGAGCATTGGGTTGTGGGGGAGCTGAAGGGAGGAAGTCAATGTGTTTGAGAAGGTGGTGTTGTTGGTTTCGCAACACCGTCAGTGTTTGCTGACTTGGCAAACCCTGGTTGGAAGACCCTGGTTGCACAGGAAATATATTGAAGGTTCCCACTCTAGATGTTCGACAATCACACAATCCCTACCACTAGCCAATTAGTGTCCTTCACACATTCGGTAACACCAATTCGCGCAAAACACTTCCAAGGCAAAACACACGGTCAAGAATTGTAAGCTGAACCCGCGATCGCAATTTGGGCCTGTTTTTATAAGGTTATGTACATGTTTCATTTGCCCACTTGTACTTTGCATGTTTTTTCCCCTTTTGTTTGTGAGCAGATCTTCCCTCTTCTCTGTAGGGCAGTAGCCACTAGCATCTCCCCATCTCATCCACCCACGTGTGTAGTTTGATTCCTGTTGGCTTGATTTTGAGGTGATGGTGCTTCACAAGAATGTGCCAAAACTAATTATATGTACGTATGCTGTAGTGGGGTACCCCCATGAGGGGTATGACCCTTAGGGTTTGTAGTAGTACTTCCAACTCAACTCCATTCCTCGTTCTTTGACATGGTAGCAGAGCTAGGTTAGGACCGCTTCTAGTGCCTATCAGCTGTAACTACTCATCACGCTACCCCTCGTTAGATCTGCCCCGCACGTACTCTTTCAGCTGCTCGTCGCGCGCCATTCACACTGCCCTTACATGCGCTTTGCATTGCTCAGCGCGACCCGCTGCCCCGCTGCCCAGCATGATGCGTGCCCCACTACTCTGCTGCCCTGCGCGCAGCTGCCCAGAACAATACACACCCCACTGCCCCGCTGCCCCACTGCCTCGCTGCCCCACTGCGCCGCATGTCGCTGTTCTGCGCAACTCTGCCCTGCGAGCCGCTGCCCCAAGTGCTGCCGCTGCTCCTTTGCTACGGCCGCCGCTGTTGCTCAGGTGCAGCCACTGCCTCCACTGCTTTCGCAGCTCCCGCCGCTACAACTGCCGCTACAGCTGCCGTGAGTACCGCAGTTACCGCTACAGCTGCTGCCATAATCGCTACAGCCACTGCAGCTAAATGCTACAGCTACTGCAGCCCCCGCAACTGCCGCTGCAGCTACTGCCACTACCGCTACAGCTGCCGTTGCTTCAGCTACAGCCGCAGCAGCTACCATTGCTTCAGCCGACGCTGCTGCCACTGCTGCTGCTACAACCGCCGCTGACGCCGCCACTAACCGCCGCTGTTGCGGCTGATGCTACAGCCGCCGCAGCACCACTCCCGCCGCAGCTACTGCCACAGCCGCCGCTGCTGTCTCTGCCACTGCTACAACCACCGCTGCTGCCCCTGCTGCTACTACAACCGCCGCTGCTGCCACTGCTACTGCTGCAGTCGTGGCTAACCGCCGCTGTTGCTGCTACAGCCGCCGCGGCCGCCACTATAGCTGCAGATGCTGCTACAGCCACGCTGCTGCCTCTGGCACTGCTACAGCCACCACTGCTACCCCTACTGTTTCTATAGCTGCCGCTACCTGCACTCGCTGCGCCGCCCGCGCGCACGCCCTGCCCTGCCCCGCGTTGCGCTGCCCCGCGCACGCCGTGCCCTGCCCCGCGTTGCGCTGCCCCGCGCACGCTCTGCTCTGCTTGGCGTCGCGCGCCCCCGCTGCCCGTCGCGCCATGCGCCCCTGCAGCCCGTCGCGTCGCCCGTCTGCCCTGCCTCTGCCCGTCGCGTCGCCCGTACGGGCTGTCCCAGCCCGTCGCGTCGCCCGTCTGCCCTGCCTCTGCCCGTCGCGTCGCCCGTACGGGCTGTCCCAGCCCGTCGCGTCGCCCGTCCGCCCTGCCTGCCTGTCGCGTCGCCCGTACGGGCTGTCCCAGCCCATCGCGTTGCCCGTACGGGCTGCCTGCCCGTCGCGTCGCCCGTCCGCTCGCGCGTCGCGCCCTACGGCAGCCCGCGCGCCGCGCTCTGCAGCCCGCGCGCCGCGCTCTGCAGCCCCGCGCGTCGCGCTCTGCTGCAGCCCGCGCGTCGCGCCCTGCTGCCCTGCACGAAGCGCGCCCTGCTGCTCGCGCCGCCCAGGCCGAGCCGAGCCGCCCTACCCGACCCGATCCGCCCTCCTGCTCGTGCTACTACTGCTGCTGGTGGAGGTGCTGCTAGGAGTGCTGGAGGTGCTGCAGCCTAGCCTCACCGGGCCGCTCTACTGCTCTTACTGCTGTTGCTGCTGCTCGTGCTGCTGTCTTCCCTCCGTACCGCCCTCCTCCTCGCACGCCTCCTTGCTTACCCGCTATGACTTCCCTTCGTAGTAGCGGTGGGAGTGGTGGCGGCGGCGGTGGCGGCAGTGGGAGTGGTAGGGGCGACCATAGTTGCAGTCGCGGTGGAGCTGTTCAGTGCGGAGTTTCTGGCGGTGACTGGCAGTTAGTCATACAGAGTCCCGCTGCTTCTCCCGTCTGAGCGACGCTTGGCGAGCACGGTTTGGCGACGAGACTGAGCTACCCTTCTGGCTAGAGCTGCTTTAGGACGGAGTAGATGTATTTGCCTTTAACTATGACACTATCCTTACTGCCATGTATGTTTTGACTGGTACTTCTAAGGGTGACTGTTACCTGTGTGTGCCCCCTGACCCTGGTATAGCGGCTGCTGCTCTAGGTGCTAGTGAGTCTGCTCTCTCTGGTACTGAACCTTTTTGCTGAGGCCTTGCACACCTTTACACTTGACTCTGGTGCTTCCCGCTGTTTCTTTCGCGACAGTACCACGGTCACACCCCTCCCTGCACCTGTCCCTGTCTCACTTGCTGACCCCTCTGGGGGCCCAGTGCTTGCACGGTCTACCACTGTGCTTCCGTGTCCAGCGCTCCCGTCTGGTGAGCTGTCTGGTCTCCACCTCCCCTCGTTCTCTACGAACTTGGTGAGCACCGCCGTCCTTCAGGATCACTGGGTTGACACCTTTACTCCTGGAGGACAGCGGGTGACACACTGCACGTGCTCTCGGACCGGCCGCCACCTGGCCAGGTTCACACGTGCGCATGGGTCCAGTCTGTACGCCCTCACCACTGTGTTGCGTCACACCACTTTGTCTCCTCAGCTATACGCGTCTGCTCAGGTAGCTACCTAGTGTGAGTGTCGTTGCAAGTCGCACGACACTCTCCTGTGGCACCACCGACTTGGTCACCCCTCCCTGCCTCACCTTCGTGGCATGCACTCTCGCTCCCTGGTCTCTGGTCTTCCCAGGTCTCTGCCTGCCCTCCCTCCCTCGCCTGCGCTGCCCTGCATTCCTTGCGTCGAGGGGCGGCAGCGCGCCACTCCTCACTCCTCCTCGTTCCCTCCTACAGAGGCTCCGCTGCAGACTCTCCACCTGGACGTGTGGGGCCCAGCCCGCGTCTAGGGACAGGGCCGCGAGCGGTACTTCCTGCTGGTTGTCGACGACTACACGCGTTACACTACGGTCTTCCCCTTGCAGCGCAAGGCGGGTGTCCTTGCTGACCTGATCCCTTGGATCCGCGCTGTTCGTCTCCAGCTCCGCGAGCGGTTTGAGCGGGACTTTTATGTCTTGCGTCTGCACTCTGACAGAGGTGGTGAGTTCACCTTCGACCTCTTGCGAGCCTTATGTGAGGAGGACGGCATCACCCAGTTGTTCACGCTTCCGGCCTCTCCGCAGCAGAATGGGGTTGCTGAGCGCCGCATTGGCCTAGTCGATCCATGCAGCGGCTCCACATTTTCTGTGGCCGTTTGCGGTCCGGTACGCCGCACATCAGCTCAACCTCTGGCCCCGTGTCTCCTTGCCGGAGACCTCGCCCACGCTGCTGTGGACGGGGGAGGTTGGCGATGCGTCGCGTTTCCAGGTCTGGGGTGCTCGTGCCTTTGTCCGCGATCTCACCGCGGACAAGCTCTCTGCCCGCGCCATTCCCTGCATCTTCCTTGGTGTCCTCCTGGCGCGCTTGGCTGGCAGTTTTACGACCCCACCTCGCGCCGTGTCTTTGCGTCTCAGGACTTCACTTTTGACGAGTTTGTTCCCTTTTACCGTCTCTTTCCCTACCGCACTGCCCCTCGCCCCCCCCCCCCCCCGCCGCTCTTTCTCGCTCCAGGTCCTTCCCAGGTAGACCCCCTCCCCGCGCCAGGTCCTGCTCCTTCAGGTGTTTCTCAAGTAAATCCTCCTGTGCCTGCGCCTGTTGAGGTCACTGGTGACTCGGGTCCTGCTGGGGATAGTCCTGCTCGGGGTGCTGTCTTTGAGGGTGCTGAGCCTGGGGGTACGGAGCCTGAGCGAGAGGAGCCTGGGGGTGCTGAGCCTAGGGGTGCGGAGTCTGGGGGTGCTGTGCCTGAGCGTGAGGAGCCTGGAGGTGCTGAGTCTGCGGGTGCCGAGTCTGAGCGTGCTGAGCCTGCGTGCGAGGAGCCTGAGGGTGCTGAGCCTGGAGGTACTGAGCCTGAGCGTGATGAGCCTGGGGGTGCTGAGTCTGGGGGTGCGGCGCCTGAGGGTACTGCGACTGCTGGTGCGCGGTCTCCTTGGAGTGGCCGCCTTCGTCCGCGTACGCCTCTCACCTCACAGCAGCTGCACGACTGGTACGGTCGCCGTCAGGGTCGCGCTGCTGGGGCTCGGGGCTCTACTGCTGGAGGTATTTCTGCTGACGTCACTGGAGCCGGGAGTGGTGCTGGTTCTTTACCTGCTGGAGGTGCTGACCCTGGGGGTGCTGAGCTTGTGCGTGAGGAGACTGGAGGTGCTGTGCCTAGGGGTGCTGCGTCCGGGGGTACTGAGCCTGGGGGTGCTGAGTCTGGGGGTGCGGCGCCTGCGGGTACTGAGACTGCTGGTGCGCGGTCTCCTTGGAGTAGCCGCCTTCATCCGCGTGTGCCTCCCTCCCCACAGCAGCTGCACGAGCGGTACACTTGCCGCCAGGGTCGCGCTGCTGGAGCTCGGGGCTCTACCGCTGGAGGTGTCTCTACTGTTGTCGCTGGAGCTGGGAGTGGTGCTGT